ACATGCAACAAAATGACTAAAACATTAACTAAAATTAAAATCAAAATGTAAAAAATATATAAAAGGAATATAAAATATAAAAATAAAAAACTAATTAAAAATAATAAAAAACTATAATAGTATCCCAAATAATACTAAAATAACACTGATTACAATTAAGTTTGCAGTGTTATTTTAGTATTATTTATATAATATTATAGTCTTTATTAATATTTTGAATACACTTTTAGTTTTATATTTTTTATTTATTACTTAGTGTTTTCTTTTGAAACATTTTTTATTTATTTCAGTTAGTAATATACATCAACTTATTTCAGTTTGTATTTATAATAGTCCAGGTCTTCTAAAATCCATACTTTATTTTTATGCTTTATTTCCATTTTAAAAAATGTAATCATAGTTTTAGCTATAAGTTAGTCATCCATTTATTATTATTATTATTATTTATTTTTATTCATTTATTTATTTTTAGTCAGTTGCATAAAAACTTAGATTGGTGAAATTTGAGAATTTTGAGAACACATTATCTCTAGCTGCTAGTTAGTCAGACGAGATCCTAAGACTTAAAGGAACAATCCACTATTTTTGAAAATAGGCTCATTTTCCGACTCCCCTAGAGTTAAACAGCTGAGTTTTACCGTTTTCGAATCCATTCAGCCGATCTCCGGGTCTGGCGGTAGCACTTTTAGCTGTAGCTTAGCATAGATCATTGAATCTGATTAGACCGTTAGCATCTCGCTCAAAAATGACCAAAGAGTTTCGATATTTTTCCTATTTAAAACTTGACTCTTCTGTAGTTACATCGTGTACTAAGACCGACGGAAAATGAAAAGTTTTCTAGGCCGATATGGCTAGGAACTATACTCTCATTCCAGCGTAATAATCAAGGAACTTTGCTGCCGTTAACAACATTTTATGAAAACAACAACAATTTGCAATTGTCAATGTTGTCATTTTCCGTCGGTCTTAGTACACGATGTAACTACAGAAGAGTCGAGTTTTAAATAGGAAAAATATCGAAACTCTTTGGTCATTTTTGAGCGAGATGCTAACGGTCTAATCAGATTCAATGATCTATGCTAAGCTAAGCTAAAAGTGCTACCGCCAGACCCGGAGATCAGCTGAATGGATTCGAAAACGGTAAAACTCAACTGTTTAACTCTAGGGGAGTCGGAAAATGAGCCTATTTTCAAAAATAGTGGAGTGTTCCTTTAACATAATGACTGTGTTTACGCAACTGTCCCAACATTACTGAATCAGATGAAAATATGAATAATAAATCTCACATTATATAAGAAAACGAGTTCAAAACAAATGACTCAAAACAGTAAAAATAACTTTATAAAACAGTATGACATCTCGTAATTTTTTTTTTTACACAACAATCCGCTGCAGCTTTAGTTCCACTGAAGGTCTGCAGATCCAGGGCTTCATAAGCTTATCAACTTTATAAAATATGATTTTCAGCAAACAGCTGCTCCTCAGTTGGAGATCAGCTGCATTGATATGTCTTATTATAAAACGCTCTAAAATCTGTGGAGTTTGATTCTATAGACGCTCACACCTGTGACCACACGTCAGAACAACTCAACATGCTGCAAGAGTCAGCTCTGATCATCGTGCTGCTTGGCAACAGACTACACTTAAGCTAATGAACCATTTAACATGGCAGAAGTGATTATTGTTAATAATATATCTAAAGCAGATGTTTGTAAAACAGTCGCCATTGGTCGAGTCTATGTTGCTGTGCTGTTTAAAAGCTCCAGAGTCCCAGTGTTCGTTCTTCGGGACGTTAACCTACGAAAGCACACACTTCACCTTTCCAAACAGACACAGCTAGATTTATTAGTGCTCATTATGAATTTAAGACACATTTAAACCCTGTAATCATCCCATTTTGCGGCATTTATTACTGTACACATGATAACGTCATGACGTCAAAATACAACTTCTGACCCTAATTAAACTCATTTGCTAGATTTCAAAGGTTAAAAAAAAAAAAGTTTATTGCCATGATAGGTATAGACTAGTCCAGGGGTAGGCAAGTTTGGTCCTAGAGAGCCGCAGTCCTACAGAGTTCAGCTCCAACCCTGAAAAAACAAATCACCTGCAGCCTTAGTAATCCTGAAGACATTGATCAGCTTGTTCAGGTGTGTTTGGGTTGGAGCTGAACTCTGCACGACTGCGGCTCTCTAGGACCGAACTTGCCTATCCCTGGACTAGAGCATAAAATGTTTTTTTCTGGTTTATTTCCTCCACAGGAATTTCAGTAATTCTTAAAAAAAAAACAGGATGAATAACCTGAAGGACCTGAAGCAAAAAAGGTACTTATGAATGAGGAAGAAAAAGAAAATAAGACCAATGGAATGAACTATTTTTCCCATGAAGCATTGTTTTTTTTATCAAGTGATGTAACTTAAGAAAAATTGTATACTTTTGACCAAAAGTCCGCATGTAAGCAAACAATAACAATAAAATAATAGAACAATATTTAAAATGTATTGCAAATATTTTAGATGCACACTATTGTTTAAAAGTTTGGGGTCTGTATGATTTTTGTTAATGAAATTAATCATTTTAATCAAGTACACATTGCATTCATCAAAAATGACAGTACATTTATAATATATATATAAAAAAAATATTTTAAATAAATGCTGCTTCAATTCATCAAAGAATCCTTAAAATATCAAGCAGCACAGCTGTTTTCAACATTGATAATAATCAGAAATGTTTTTTGAGCCGCAAATCATATTAGAATGATTTCTGAAGGATCACGTCACACTGAAGACTGAAGGTATGATGCTTTGATCACAGGAACAAATTACATTTTACAACATAATCAAATAGTAAAACTGTTATTTTAAATTGTAATACTATTTGACTGTTTTTACAGTATTTTTTTAATCAAATAAATGCAGCCTTGGTGAGCAGAAGAGACTTCTTTCAAACTGACTCGATCACATCATTAGCAGAGAGCGGTCACTGGTGACTTCTGTAACCACCACATTTCTGTTTCCATGGTAACAGCAACTTCTCTGATTGGTGAGTCTCTCTTTAGTATTATGGGTAGTGTCATTTTTTTAATCAAAAATCAAAACACTTGTGGCTTCGACAGAAGCAAATATCAGAGCTTACAGTGAGTCTGTCTTAAAAAACCCATTAAAAGTCAAGTTCACTATGGAGAAAATGAATGGGACTTCTGAAAAAACAGGAACGTCAAAGTTGCAATACAGATCCCTAAATAAATGCTAGAGACCTGTTCTCCAGACGCCGCTGGCGTAGTGCTGCCATATATCTCATCTCCCTAATTCCCCCCACATGGCCAGTATGACGAGTCTGAAGCCATAAATAAGCTCTGGAGTCTAATAGCTGTGAAGGCTTGAGTGGAACTTGCCATTTGCATTGGTTAAGAGTTTTATCTGCAGCATCTGAAGGCTTTCTCTGTTCTGCTGACTAAAGCCATTCAAGCCACTAAATTAGCCCCATTAGCTTAATGCAGGTCATTACTGAACTGACCCCTGCACTCGACGTCTGATCTGGGATCTGGGCTCAGTCCTCGCTACTGGAATATCAGCGGTGTGTGTGCGGAGAAAAAAAAGAGCAAAGCAGGCTACAGATCAGCCAGCTACTGATGTGTTTGATGAATCATTTTGAAGAGGATCTCTCTTCAAAATGCTGCATTATGATCCATGCATAGTGTCAAAATTATGATTTAATGGCAAACACTATAAAAGGGCCAATTATAATCATCATGGTTGGTTGGTGTTTTTTTTTTTTTTATTTCCGCTTCCTTGGCTAATTTCATTGTAAGTAAGTTGAAATAGTATAAAAGAGCAATTTAAAAATCTATAAGGTTTGCTTTAGTTTAAAATGGACTCAATATTATCATCATCATCCATACCCAAATGTGTGTATATATATATATATATACATGCTGAATTTTTTTGTTGTTTATTGCTATTATTTAGTCTGTGTGTTTCAATTGTCAACCTTTGCAATGTAATTAAAGATACATCTTAGATTTTACTGATCTACACTGTAAAAATAAGTGCAATTTTAACTGTACAATTTTGTAAAAATGCTACGGAAAAAAAACTGTTAATAGGTTAACAGTAAGTTCCCGTACTAAATACAGGGAAAAACTGTAAAATATTTAACCAGACATTTCATGTAATTTTACAGTTTTTAGAAGTAAAAATAGCAAATCAATGTATAATTTACAGTCAAAAACTGTAAACTGATATTCCCAGAATTCCCTGCATGACACTCCACGTTTGAAAGTATTTTGTTTAAATAATCATGTTTTTTTAATAGTTTTTGTTATTAGTTATGTATATTTGGGCTTTATGTTACATCTTCTGTTGTTTAATGAAAGTTGAATGCATTATTTAAGTATAATGTGTGTTACCATGATGGTGTTTAGTGTTTGCATGAATGACTCTGTGCACAGAAGTATATACTTCTGCTTGTGGCGAAGCTACTTGTGATGAGCTTTGATTCTTCATGTGGCTTTCTCTTTTACCACCTGCATTATTATGGTGGTTGTCAGTATGTTAAAGGTACAAAACAGATTTTAATAGCAGTGTGCATTGTTGAATTTACTGGTTTACATTCAAATTTTCTTGTTTGTAAATTACAGTTTTATACTGTAAAATTTACAGTTTTTGGCCATACATGTGTTTACAGTTTTTCTTTATTTTTTATTATTTATTTATACTACAGATTTTTTTTACAGTGTAGTTTACAAACAAAAGAAGAAAAAAAAGTCATGAAATTTATAGCATTTTAATTTATTTTAATCAGGGCTGTCAATCAATTAAATGTCAATAGCAAATTGTTGTTGTTTTCATAAAATGTTGTTAATATTATTATTATTAACATATACAATACACATACAATATAATATTACATTTATATGGAGATTTTTTTATTTACATATAACTATAATAATAATAATAATAATAATTATTATTATATGTAAATAAAAAGATCTCCAAGATAAAAAGAATATTAATTTTAAATAAACATTATGATTGTAACAGGTAGATGAGTGCATTTCCTAAATGACATGATTCAAATGCATTGGTACAAAGTGATTCTGCACATCAGAGGCAACAGCTTGTGTGTTCAGTCGAGTTTATTTCTTAAATCTCAGTAGTGATTTCACACGTGTGCTATTCAGTAGGCTGCAGTATTTTGGGAGCTCCTTACAAGATATTTGCTCTTTCTTATTAAAAAAAAATTCAAATCCTTCTCCCAGTGCCATTCAAGCTGTGTTCCACACAAATTAAATCAAGGGTTTAAACGTTTGTAAACCAAAAGGGAGCCATGGTGGAATTCATTTCAGGGCCACTTCACTTCAATCTAATTGAAACGGTATTTCAAGAGGACTCTTAAATTATGCAACGTCAGATCCCAAACACGTAAGAAGATACAGCATGATTTCAAAGCACGTCATTTTAATTATTGGGTTTAATCCTGTCTTAAATAACTGAGGAAGGAATGGATGTCTAGGAACATGTGAAGGGAAAAGCGCAAATCAGACAATCTATTCCTTCAGTCTGCTCTAACAATGTCTCAAACTGTGTAACTGACTTTAATTGCGGTCTAATATTTACAACATTAGGTTTCAGAGTGCACTGCAATTGCTTAATTGCTTAATAGCACAGCTCATTTTTACAATAGATGCGTGCAGATGAATATAGCGTAGAATAAAGACTTGATGTTCAGTTGTATTTGAAATCTCTCAGCAGATTTAACTGATATTAGTTCATGAGTTTCAGTCACTGAATCCATTAACATTTTGAACATTGGTTTCTCGACCAATTTGCAACGGGAAATCATGAGATCCATTATAAATGAAACCCGTGGTCTGCTATAAACTGAACGGATTTTCAAAAGCACATGTCGTTTTCTGAAGATAATGACTGAATCACTATCCGCTCCGTTTCAGCCAACTGGTTGGTCATTAGAGAGCGATACTGTAAAGTCAAATGAAGGAGTGGTTTAAAGAAGCTCTTTCATAAAACACGAGTAGAACAATTTAAATAAATTAAACAAGTGCAAACCCATTCTTATATGCATTGTTGCATTGAATTTAATGCAACAGTTGCCATAAGAATGGGTTTCCTGAAATCCATTCTGCTCGTGTTTCCTGAGTGAGGGTCATTGGCTTTATTTGTTCTTGCTGAGAGTTCGCTGTTTTTCCGCATGTTCTACGATCTTCTCCTCCACGTAGAGGCCTTTGCGTCTGCGAACGGCGTTCATGTATTTCAGAGTCTGATTGGTCGAGTCTGCTTTTTCTCCAAAGTGTAAGTACTCCTCTTCAGTAGTGGGAACCCAGAATGGATCACTGCTGATGACCTAAAACACACACACACACACACACACACACACACACACACACACGCACAAAGAAATAAAATAAAATAGATGAATTACTGGATTATTCAAAATAAGCATTATCATGACTATTTACTATAGAAGTAATAAAATAAAAAAATAAAGTAACAAATAAATAAAACTTTTCATTTGCAAAAAAATACTGTATTAAATGCATTTAATTCACTGAATTATTTAGAATATATAAAACACATTTATATTAAATGTATACGATTATTATGGTCTGAATTGATCAAAATTGGCATTACTACTATTATTAAATAAAAATAAATATATGAATACACTTAAAGAACCTATAAATTAAACAATAAATAAAAAAGCAATGTAAATAATTTGCTGGATTATCCAAAATAATCATTAACACGATTACTAAACATAGAATGAATGAATAAATAAATATTTTTACTTGAAGAAAATAAAAATATCTATTTGCCACATATTTAATTTCCTGTATTAAGGACAAAAAGGCATCAACACATGATTATTAAATTAATTAATTAATTGATAGATAAATAAATAAACACACACACACACACACACGTCAGAATGTAATTCACTGTATTTGAATATGCATTAGCACATGCCTATAACATTATTCTAAATAAATAACTTTTGATTGCACTGAACAAACATTTGATTGAATTGTATAGTGCGATACGGTTAACGGGAATCTACTATGATTTCGGCCAAAATATCCAAATATCCACCCCTAATATCATTCGTAATGCACACACCAATGTAAAGTGATTTTTAGAATATAAGATCTAAATTTTATCACAAGTAACGGCACATTTTTGTAGTGTTTAGTTAATTTGTGAGTCAGTCAGGAATTAGCAGCACAATATTTCTTTGTCTTCATCCCTCTCATTATAAAAAGAAAATGCATCGTTCCAGGGCAGAACTAGACTACGCAATTGTCTGCTGTGAAGAGATAAACATAATGGTCATTATACGAGGCACAGTGAGAGCATGTACCAGCACACACACACATGCGCGCACACACGCACACACACACACACACAGCACTGGGAGCAGGTGCTTGATGGATGACGCAATCCCTGCAGCAACACACACACACTTCCACACAATATGACCTCATGCTCAGACAATAGCGCGAGTGGTACAATTACTGTAAGAGTCCAGCGGGGCCCCTGCACCTGGTCCCAGAGAGGCCCCACGGCATGGGCTCCGTTACCTCGGGACAGATGGCAGAGGCCAACAACAGCCCGATTTACACAATGATCGACTGCTGCCCGCAAACCCAACCAGTCCAGCGCTTCAGGAGCATCACATGCTTACAGACAATTAGCATTTAAACGGCCACCGAGCACAAGCAAAAGAGCTTCCTGAGCGCTGATCTTTGATTCGATATCTGCTTTCTTATTCTCATTTGTCTTATACTACCAGTCCCTGCTTGGGTTACCATCCCTCTTTTTTTCCCTCCACTAAATAGCTTTTGTCTTGTGTCATTTAAGCACAACCCAACAAGTGACGGCACTTTTGATTTGTCTGCAAAAAAGGCCTCTAACACTAGCTTGCTCTATTCTATCTCTTTTCTTTTATTATATGAATTTTAAAAACTTGCTACGTGTACTGCATTTAGCTAACTGAGACTTGTTATAACACTTGTGTATCATTGCTCTTTTGTTGATTTTGATTGCTTCCATTGTCCTCATTTGTAAGTCGCTTTGGATAAAAGTGTCTGCTAAATGTCTATGTCTGGGATGTGGCTAGATTAAATAAATGTATGAAATAAATATGCTGCTTAAAAACATTTCTGAACATAATGATTTCACTCACTCACACACTCACACACTCACACACTCACACACTCACACACACACACACACACACACACACACACATACACACACACACACTTGTTTACTCTCAAGGTTATTCTGATGTTCAATCAGTCATTAATCTGATTGCACTAGAATCTGATAATTGTTACATAACAGACGACAAATCCAGTGAAAGGAAATGTAGTGAGACGGTAGGTTTTAATGAGTGACCGTCCGCCGCTGTCCAAGACAGGGTGGAGTGTGTGTTTGATAGCAGCACCAACACTGAATGACACCAACTGTATGTCAGAATTGCACAAAGGCTTAGTGTAACACACACACACACACACACACACACACACACACACACACATTAGTCCATTTCTTTGTCCATCTCGCACAATTAGATTACATTGACCTGCATGTGTCTCGCTCATGGCCGGCGCTGATTAGTGTGTGTGTGTGTCTCATGGCAGGGGCGGGCAGACGCTTGGCAGACAGATCGAGTGTGGATTCGAGGACCTGGCATATGTGTCGAATGGTGTCTAATGGGCTCTCGGCACAGTAGGGAACGAACACACACACACACACGCACACACACACACACACACACACACTCTCTCAATGGACGTGCTGCTGTCAAAGCTTGACATCTGCCCACACACACATGCATGCATGCAGGCTGTCAGATGGAGTGTGTAGGTTCTCTGAGAGTTTTCACATTAATGGCGCAGCGTCCAGCGTTTGTCACCTTTTTAACTCTGCGGCTCTCGGAGAAAGAGAGAGAACAAGACAGGTGAGAGATTGACAACTAAAGCGATGAGGAAATGCTATCCGGACCAACTTTATAAGACTCCTGTCAGTTATAATTCCTGCTCACTCTACTTCACTTCCTGACGTATCTGCACAATGCCTTTAGCAGGAGGACACGTGCAACCGCAAAAGCACATATCAATAAGCGTAGTTTCCACTGTACAAAAAACATCCAGTGAGAAACCATGCTCAAGGGTGACAAAATACTGCTTAGAGGGTGCATTCAGCCGAAAAAGTCATTTCAAACTCATATGACATTCTGAGGACCGCAAAATAAGACATTCAGCAGAATCTCTCTCTCTCCATGTATCTATCTATCTATATATCTTTCACTGAAACTCTTCCTCTCGACATATTTAAATATAGTGTTTCAAGATGCCAATCAAGCCAGGTCTAACATCAAAGATAATGAGTCATGAGATTAACATTTCATGTGATACAAGTCTAAACTGGCACATCTTGAAGTTACTGTATGAATTGAGATCATATATAAAAATATATAAATATAAATACAGACAGAGATACACTACCTTTCAAAAGTTTAGAGTCAGTAAGGCGTTTCATATTTTTGAAAGTCTTTTATGCTCACCAAGGATGCATTTATTTGATCAAAACATACAGTAAAAAAGGGTAATGTTGTAAGTAATATAATTAAAAGTAATATTGTGAACTATATTTGGTACTTGTAATGATAAATATTGTGGTTAAAATGCAGGTTAATACATACTGCATTTATTTATTTATTATAAAAAAGTAATATTGTGAAATATTGTTACAATTTAAAATAATACATTTAAAATGTAATTTATTCCTATGATGGCAAAGCTGAATTTTCATTCTTCAGTGTGACATGATCCTTCAGAAATCATTCTAATTTGCTGCTCAAGAAACATTTCTTATTATCAATGTTGAAAACATTTGTGCTGCTTCATATTTTTGTGGAAACCATGATCATTTTTTTCCCCCATGATGTTTTGGTTACTAAAAATATCCAAAAGAACAGCATTTTTGTGTTATAATGTGTGACATTATAAATGTCTTTATCGTCATTTTTACAAAATCAATTTAATGCATCCTTGCTGAATACAAGTATTACTTTCTTTAAAAACGTACTTACAGACATTTGAACTGTAGTGTACATAGATACAAATATAAACTAGAAAAAAACAACCTTTCATCCTGCTGCTTCTGTTCTTTATTGATAGTCAATGGCCACTATTTGGTTTCTTTGTATGGAGATGATGTACAAATAAAATTTTGTACAACTTTATTATGTCATACGGAAAAGAGAAGTTAACATTGATGATCATCTTTTGTGTTTTAAAGATGAAAAAAAGTCATACAGGACATGAAACAGAATGAGAGTCAGTAGATGATGACAGATTTTAAATTTTTTGGTGAACTATTCTCATAAACTCCTTAGGTCTCGCAAAACAACACAGATTTGTAGAAATCCTGCAGTCAAAACAAGCACCTTAAGACCCATAAAATGTCCACAGAAAAGAGAACAGAATAACAGCAGTTCAGCTGTAAGAGGAGACGTTTCACTCACACACACACACACACACACACACACACACAGAGGAGGACAAAACGGCTGCAGTGCTTCGCTTTACACTGTCTTTAGTCTTTTCTCTATGCACAAAGGCCACATTTAGAAGAATTGAAAATGCAGCAGGCCTCAAAATCTAGCAAGGCAAGGTTTGAATTAAACATGGAATTGAATTACCCTCCTCCAGCAAGGCAAACACAGTCTGCAAGTACCAAGACCAGCGGACAATTTGAGTCATGTGTGTGTTATTGAGTGTGTGTGCGTGTGTGATCCTCACACTGTACTCAAACACAATAAGTACAAGAAACCTCATGCGAAGGAAGAGATTATTACATCTTCTTGTAGAGATACAGAACATTATTCATGGCCTATTTCTCAGAAAATCAAGTAAAATGTCTCTGCCAAAATAAAGTAAAGTTAATTCAACACTCATACTGACATAAGACATAATGTATTGCATTATCAAAAAATAAAAAAATATATATACATAAGCAAGCAAGCCTACTTTTTGAGGCAAAAAATGTAAAAAAAATACATACTAAATAAATAAATAATAACATATAAATAAATGCATTAACTGTGCATTAACCACGATATTATGTATTATTACGAGTCCCAAATGAATAAATAAGCCGTCTTTTTGCAGCAATATTATTTTTTATTTATTACTGACCATATTATTATTTATTTATTTTATTATGCAAGACTAACAGAGAATGCAGAGTGGTATGAAATGAACCTACATAGCTTTGCAGGAAATCAGTTTCCTGGGTCAATTAGGGAGTTAAGCGTCAAAACACAAAAATCTCTGACCGCAGAATGCCACAGTTGACCAATCAGAAGCAAGTATTCCAGACATGCATAAGAAACAGCATTACGATTAGCACTAAATCTCACCCTAAATTCATCAGCTGTCAGATGATACAGAGGACTGATTGATCAGGAGTGCTGCAGTTTAGCGAAGGATCAAAGGTAACTATGAGGTTGTAAGTTCAAATCCCATTAGCTATGATCGTGATTTATTTTTAATCATGATCAATTCAATTAAGTTTTTGAAATGCTGTGCTATATTAGCACACTTAGAGTTTACACTGGACTGTGGTGAATAAGATGCAGGTTTCTGCACTCAGAGACAGCATGAAAAAGTGGTGCAACCATTTTGTGAAGTAGCAGACGACCTTATATGCCCTTTGTGTGTGTGTGTGTGTGTGTGTGTGTGTTTGCATCATGTCCAGCTTAACTCGACCCATCATCCTGGCTGACAATAGCGCCATATGGCCGCAGAGCTCGTCCGCTCACCCAGCCCTGGCGTGGAGAGAACACATCCAACCAGCCATCGGGTTAAAGACGGCACACATGTGGCATCTACAGCCTTTGATCCTATTTCACGCCAATCCCTCACCAAACACCCCCCCCCCCCCCCCCCCCC